AAACGTATCGTCAAATTCTTACATGATAAGATTGTTTCTCAACTAGTTAAAAATCCAAAAAACCTAGACGGTTTGATATTATGTTCCCGACATTAATTGCTTGCTATGGGCTATGTATGAGTCACGAGTGTATGTTCACATCGAACAATAATTATAGTAAAATAGGAAGTATAATGCAGCAATTTAACCATAAAAAGTGAGCAGAATCACTTATATTAATAATTTTGTGAAAAAGTGGAAATATGGTGTCGCAATACCTCACTAAACGTGTCCGCAAATGCGATTGTAATGTTGTGTTTACGAGCGCTAACTTTACTTGAACCTGAAACCGAACCGATTCGCAGACACGCACGTACGCTTGTACACAGACACTCGCGCACGCATGTGCAGTACACGCGTTCACGCACGCGTGTACACACACGCCAACGCACGCGTGTACACGTGCGCCCACGTACGCACGCACGCACGCATGTAGACACGCGCTCACGCACGTATACACGCACGCACGCACGCATGAACGTACGCACGCACGCATGAACGTACGCACGCACGCATGTACACAGGCATGAACGTACGCACGGACGTATGCACGCACGTACGCACGCACGTATGAACGTACGCACGCACGTATGCATGTACGCACGCACGTATGCACGTACGCACGCACGTACGCACTCACGTATGAACGTACGCACTCACGTATGAACGTACGCACTCACGCACGCACCGGACGCACGTATGCGCGCACGCACGTATGCATGCACGCACGCATGTACACAGTAACGTACACAAGCATGTACGTATGCACACAGATGAGTGAGAGTGAGAGAGAAAGGGGGAGGGATGGAGGTAGGAAGGGAGCAGTGCTGCCACTCAGGATATTACAAACAAGTGCCGCAGAGCGACAGCGCTCAACTGACGTGTACTGTAGCCGGGTATTCCTCTGATAAACTCACTGGCAACCGAAACAAGTGCGCCCTCCAGCCACCGCGTTCGCGATCAGAGCATATATCTGTCATATCTAGGACACCACTAATACAGATCTAAAAATCTATGCTAGCTAGGCTTTGCTATACCGGTAGTACAGTAATAAAGATACAGCTGTGTAACTTTAATGACTTCGCTATATTAACATGTTATCATGGATTTGCGTCGAGCGCGAGCGTAGTGGTGGTGGTGGGGCGAGAGTGGAAGGAGGGGGCGGGTGGAGGAGGCTCTAATAGCAAAAGCAGTTGCCGCGAGATGGCGCGTGCAAGTGTCATCAATAATCAAAGATGGCATCACTCTTCGTGCGTGATAACCTCACTCCATTGAGTTGCTGAAATCCTACCGGCTAAAATCCAAGTATATTCAAGCAGGCGAGAATTTGTGAGTTAACACATCTGCATTGCAGGTTGCCAGGCAATAATTATGATTAGAATAGTGTCAGTTCACCCCATGCATGCGTAATGGGCTGCCCCCATGTTTTTGCCTACCCACGCGAGCATTCAGGGTTCATTACAGTGTGCTAATACAGGGTGCTACTCAGGGTGCTAATACAGACTGCTTTAGAAAATAATATTATTTAAGGAGCGTAAACCTTGTTCAACAAACATTTGCCTTTGCAATTGAACTGTGCAACTGTA